AGAGCAGCATGACATGTGTCTCATGCTATCCCAATTTCCTTGCTGGCTCCCTTTTGGTTTCAGAGAGTGCTTATGTCAGTGCTTGTGGTTCCTCTTCTTGAGTGAGAAACATCAGTTCTAAGAGCATATGCTGGCAGGAAGCACACTCCACACCAAAGTACCGGTGGTCAGGGCAGAGTTCAACTGTGGCTCCACTGCTGGTCTCAGGACTGCCTTCATCAAGAAGACATTCAGTCTCGCTGCTCAGTCTTTCTAGGCATGAGGCTTGAACCTTTTGCAGATCTGACTGTGATCCTTCCTGTGAGCTTCCCCTAATACTTGAGGTAACTCCAGTGCAGGTCGCTCGATAGCATCCACTTGCCACAGCTTAACACCAGGTGACCAAGGCACAAGCCTCTCAAAGTGTAGAGATGTCAAATTACTAATCCTACTTTTCAACTAAGTAGCTACTATAACTATACACACAACAAACAAAAGGAAGCCACTGGACAAGACTGCAATGAGGGAAGTTCCAGCAACTGTCACAGGCAGTAAGAAGGAACTCAAGGGCATGATCTTAACAGGGCATTATGGGGTGCTAGAGCCAATGTGTTAGATGCCACTAAGGAAAGAATTCTGGCAACTATGCTCAGAGCATGCACACACCTATATTAGAATGGGTATAAACAAGCACTCTAAAGATACAAATTTAATCTTCCCTTGTTGGATCAATGGGGTGTGTAGACCAATCACTTTTCACTGTTGCTTGCCAGAAAAATGGAGTTTGAAACCATGCACTGCTGGAATGAGCTAGAATAGTAACCTCTGGGTCTGCTCTGAAAAGAGAGAGAATACTTGGAGAGAAAAGCTAAGTATCAGTACAATCTACATCTGGTCTTAGGATGTTTTTCCTTGTTCACCCAAGGAAACTCAAGCTCCGAAAAACCTACAGATTCCTTGGTGGTGCTGTCTAAGATCTCCTCCTCAGTACATGTCTGTGAAGAGACCTTGCACCATGGCCAATCTACATACTGTTTAAAATGTGGAGCATACTAGAGAACTCAAATAGCATATAATATCACAGAGACCTTTAACAAATGTTTTCCTTCCTAGTATGCATTTTACTGGCAAAACACTGAGACTCTAGAAATGACCAGAAAGATCAAGGCCACAAGATGGGCTATAAAACAGAAATCTTTATTCCTTGAAAATTTTCTAACAGAGATCTTGAAGGGTAAACAGCATGTTTCAGGTAGCCTCCCTTATGGCTTTTGTATTTTCAAGGGCATGGTGAAATAAGGCGAGAGAGTCTGGAGAGCTTCAATTTCCAAGCTTTTAACGAGAAAACAACAAGGTAAGGAGCTCACTTGAAACTTATTGTCCACCTCCATATCAAACTCAGAAAAGCTTACAGCTCTTATGAGGTTTTAGTCTTTTCCCCCTAGATATTTTTTACTTGGATTCTCTGGAGAAGTGTGGTGCATATTAAAGGAGAAAGAGAAGGCCCTTGAAAACCCAGAGGAACAGTACCAAGAAATTAAAGAGTCCCTGAAGGACCTTACACTGGAGAGTTCCAGGAAGTAAAGAGGTATATGGGGGATCTTTTAAAAAACTGCAGCATAGGAAAAATTCCTGGGAGAAGGAAAAGAAAGGACATGCTAAAATGAAGAAGACAGATGACAGAAACAATGAAGAAGGAATCATGCCATTATTTTAAAAAGAGAGTCAAAAACAAAGGAATCCCAGAAGCAGAGTAGGGCCTACTTGACTCTTCCTTAGTCCTACCCTCACTGGACATCTTTGCAAAGCTACTTTTATCAGCTCTAGCGGGGACCTTTTGTGGGTGGTACGTCCGTTGGTGGATCTCAAGGCCAGTGAGGGAAGAACGCCCCAAAAAGAAGAGAACATCTAATAACAGTAGGAAAGGGGGCCTGCCGCCTAATAGGCTTAAAGAAAAAAGTGCTGCAGAAGTCTTGTACCAGGAGTATGTTGAGAAGCCACCTTCTAATAAAGGCTATATATTCAAGAATCTTCTGGTAATGACAGCCATGGAGTGGGACTTCCCAGCAGTACCAGGATTGGTGGAATGAGTATAATATGAAAACACTTTGTTGTTTGATGTACAAGATTTAATATTGCTTAATACACTAAGCAGAAATTGGAATATTTCGTTAAAACACTTTAAATACCTTTTTATTGAGTAGCAACATGATACTTTAGAGAAAATATTAATGTTTTCCATTCGACATTAGTTTAAGATTATATCCTGAAAATGTACTTGTATACAACTTCTATAGAATTTAGTGTATTTGATAATGCAAAAATATTTTTAATTTCTATATGCTTTCTTCCCAATGCACTTCACAACCTACTTACCTGTTGACAGGGGTCAACTTAGATATTTTGTAGATATTAAATATATACAATGTACATGAAACTAGAATTTAAAATACACATGTATCATAAAAATACAGGACCTCTGAAATGGTGCCACTTTAGGATGGAGGACAAAAAGCAAATCAGACAGCACTGTAAATACCAATAGGAATGAATATTTTGGCCAAAGGAAGGAGCACAGGGGCAAACCCATACTGTTCTGAAAAGTGCAAGACCACCAGAATCATGGTTTCAGTGACTTCTCTGAATCATAAGACAAGGAACTTGTGTGTTGTTAAGATATGATATTGGAAAATATCAGTTGGAAAATATCAGCTTTCCCACCTGAATACTAGGAATCAACATTTGAGCTCAGAGGCACGTATCTATATATTTCAATTATTTGACTAGCTAGAAGGATAAAATTTGGAAATATGGAATTTTGTAAGATCAGAATTTTATTTGGTGAACCCATTCAAACTTCATATAATTGGTAATTATGGTTTACATATAACCAGACACACATCACTATCATTAGCTTTTTGTTTGAGATTCTAATTAAGTATCATAACATTTTCCACAAATTTGCAAGAAGCTACCAACCTACCATCTGTACACTTTTTTCCAGTTCCTGAGGAATTGCAAATGTTGATGAAGGAGCCTGAGTTAGAGGCCATGCACCAGCCTGGCAGAGATGGAGGAAGGGGAAAAGAAAAAAAATTAGCATTCCAGTAGAGATTAAAATTAGCTCCAATGACCATAAACACTAAATGAAATATTCCTCTCAAGAATGGTCCTTATAGTTCCAGTCAAATTATCAAGACACATGAGTAGGACTAAGATTGTGTCACTATTATTTTTAGTAAACGTCATGGACAGGTCACGGGCAATAAACAAAAATTCACACAACCTCTCCATGACTTTACTTTAAAAAACCCAAAAAACCAAAACAGGGACAGGGCTAAGTAGGAGAGAGGAATGGAATGGAATCTCATGGAGAAAGACAAGCATGGTGAGGAGGCTAGTTCCCACTCCAGAAGTGGTCACAGCTATAGGACAGGGGTTTATGGCTCCAGCTTCAGCCCCCACCAAGCCCCAGCAGTAGGCGTGGGCACATGGCCCTGGGATACATGATCCCTGCATAGCCCCAGCAGAAACCAGGGTAGGACTGGGGTACAGTGATGGTGGTGGGCACAAGCTCTACTCTGGAATTGGATGGTGCTGTGAAAAAAGGATGCACAGCCCCAGCTGCAGCCAGGATGTGAAAGATGCACAGCCTCTGACATCACCAGAAGGACATATGGGCCCAGCTGCAGGTGGAATACATGTGGCTGAGGGGCACAGCCCTGGCTTCAGCATGGTCCCCATTGCAGTCCCTTATGGAAGCTGTGGGGCTGGGACATGGAGATGGGGCATAGTCACAGGGAGCACACAGTACCCACTGCAGAGCTGGCCACAGTTGCTGGACATGGGTGCACAGTTCCACCCCCAAGTCCTAGCTGAAGCTGCAGAGAGCACAAGTGGAAGAAGTCAGAGATCCAATAAAGTAACAGAATTCATGACTGCCATGGCCTTCATGACTAAACTGTAGTTTTGTGTGTGAGCTACAAATGGAGATATACGACTCGCTAAAATGTATACTGTTAAGAGGCATTTGCTCTAAGTAAGAAAATGGTTAAGGCTTTTGTTTCTATCTTTCCATTATGCACTGTAGAGGGTAAATTATCTTTCAGAAAACCTAGGAAAAATAAGCTGTTTCATATAATCAGGATTGTTCAAAAGTGATATCTAATTTATAAGTTATCAATTCAGTCTGAGAAATATTCATGTATTAGTTACATTTTAGAAAACAGTTTGTTACGAAAATACAAGAAAAAGTACACACAACTGAATAGCAACATTCTATTAATTAGTACCTGTAGAACATATATCTGAAAACTAATTCCCAAATCTATAGTGGCATCTTGGTTTTTGATGAAGTTGTTGAATTTATTGTTGAGATCTGCACTAACGCTCATGTCTGTATACATTCGATGGAGTTTGCTGGTAAACTCATAGCCACAGGCTTGCTGTAAAGAAATATTGTAAAACATTTTGTAGGTAAGAATTAATATTTTATACACATTTCTTTAAAAATAAAGTATGAATACATCCACAAAACAATACTGATTTACAGATTCCCATATTGCTAATGCCCTGTTACCTATAATATAATCAACAGTACCTTTATTTGTCAAGTTATCTAACCTTATCTTTATAAGGTTGCTTTTCTACACAACTTATTTCTAACATTTGTCCACACCCAATACTAACTTACAAAACTGAAAGTTTTGAATAGTTTGCCTAAGTTTTGATCATTGACTGGTGCTACTGGCATAGAAATATGGGTCAAGTAGCAAATTTTATACTATTACCCAAAATAAGGAACTAATTTCAGCGTGGGACTTTTTGTGCGTCAATGCATGAATTCAGAACAGATGAGGTTGCAGTTTTTCATATCACCATAGTGAAACAGCAGCTACCAATTGCTAAATTTGAAAGGTGAATTTTGGCACCTGGTGCTGACCCGGGTTAAATGAGACATGCTTCAACAGTTATTACTACTATTTATATGGTTTTGAAAGGATAGTTCGTATTACCTTTAGTTTATTAATCATGGCTTCTTCAGAGTCCATAGACATAGACAAACCATGAATTAATCGTTTTGCCAACATTCTGGCATAGAACTGTATGAAAAAGTAAGCAAAATGTTTTTAGTTGAGGATTTTTTTTTAAAAGTGTGAACAAACATCCTTTATAAAGCCATTTAGGTAATTACATTTTTGTTTTAACACTCAGAATTGGAGGTTACCTTCTGGAAAACATCTTTATCATCAATGTATTTGAAAACAGTAATGAAACTTGTAAGTTTATCTTCTACTTCATTCTCTGTCATTCCTTTGGCTGATTTCTTCAGCAAGTTATCACAATACTTGGCCAGCTCAAGTAAAAAGAAAAAAAAAGAAAAAATAGAAAAAAAAGAAAAACAAAATCTACTTATCAAGTATTGAACAACAGTGTTTGAAAGTATTTGCAACTACTAAATACATAAGGGTAAAAACTTGACACCTCAGATGACAAATCAACACAAATAAGAGACAAGGGACCACATTTTGAAACAAAGGCATGTCAAATTGTGTGCACAGAACATGTATATTTTGTGTGGCTTAAGTAGTTATGTCTATTTTTAAAAAGATTTTTGAATATGATTCACTACATGAATATTGTTTTAATTTGTGGTCACTATGTGTTAATAATGACTGCTTTGAGGATTAAATTTTTTTTTAATTGCTACTACACTTAAATCTCTGTACTCTGAGTGTCCCGTGGTATGGAGAAAAAAGCAGCTCTGCATGCTGTTAAGTCTTCCTGTCCCCACATCTTGGGGAACAGCAAAGAGCAGAGACACTTCCTCCAAGGCTTCTTCTCCGATAGCAGTGCCTGGGAGTGGTGGAGAGCACGAAGCTTTGTGTGTCCCTGGGAGCAGGGCGGCAGGTAAGTGCCTCACCCCCTCACTCTGCAGCGCCCTCCATAGCCCATCAAAATCTTTAATCTGGCATACTTTATTTAATTCAGTTAGTAACTGAAGTACTCTGAATGCGTATGTCCCGAAGATGTAAACCCTGATTAGGTTTCTTAGAGAATTAAAGAGGTTCAAAGGTACTACCACTATTGCAGCATACAATTTTTGTCACTTACCAGCTCAGGTGCTTTGCAGATCGACTTGGGTTCCCTATAGTTTACTACAGATGTTAGAGCCTATGTAAAAATACACAAACACATATTTTAAGAAATATTCCAACTTTTGCTTTGGTGATAGAAGAATGAAGACAGTGCAAGTTTTTCAGAGCAACAACTGTCTTAAAAAAAAAAGAAAAGCACAGAATAGAAAAGTGGACAAAAAGAGCAAGATTGAAAAAACCAACATGAAACAGTATACAATAAGCAAGCCACAAGGAATTTATTAAGTGAGACTAAGGAAAGATGCAAGGGGAAGAGTAAATATCACAGATGAGCATGTCAGCTATGGAAAGAAGGTCACAGAACTGTTTTGATTAGAAACGCAAAGGAAGAGAGAGGATGCTAGGTGAACAAGAAGTAAGAGGTTCCAAAAGTAGGTAGCAGGAAGAGCACACACTAGAGTAGGAGAACAAAGGAGCAATAAAGTGAGAAATTAGAAAATTGTATCATCTGGCATGGGAGTACATAGTGGGGAGTGAAAAGAGGTAGCAAATTAGATATAAACAGCAGCAGCAGCAAAGTCTTAATTCAGGAGCATACGTTTGAACTTTAAGGGAAGACAGTAAACAGTGAAACTATCTCAGCATCTAAAGGAGAAGCAGATGAGGCAGATCTTTGAAATATTATAGTAAAGATGAGATCAGAGAGTGAGTCAACATGAGGAAGAAGAAAAGGAAATTAATGATCACTAAGGATCAGGGCTTAAGTGGTTATAAGAATAATAAAATTGCCACCATTAGTATTACAAACAAGCTACATCTACACTGCAGTGCTGTTACAGGATACTGGAGGTATCCCAAAATAGCTACTCCAGGTCTCCTGAGTGTTCCCGTTATTTCAAAATATAATGGGCTCACTATTCCAATGTCCCTGTAAACCTCATTCTATGAGGAATAAGGGACATTTCGGAATAGTGATTTATTCCAAATAAGTGCTGTGTGAACACTGCAAAATTTCAAAAAACGCTATTTAGAATTAACATAGAAATTGTTTATCTTATTTCGACCTACAATGCAGTGTACTGAAGTAACTGCAACAGAACTTGAGTATATGCCAAGCCAAAACATACCATATACCAGTTCCTGTGAAGTGCATATACATTCAATAATTTTTGGTCCACAGGTCTTTGCTTTAAATAAAGAAAGCAAGCTCAAGGGCTTTACTGACCCTCTCTACTCAGTATTTTTAGTGTCCTTCAGGAGTTAGAAGTATATTTTCCTTATAGGCTCTATAGGCAGTGCACTGCTGAATCACATGATGTCTTTGGAGGCGAAGGGTTACAGGCCTTCTCTAGAAGGAACCTTGTTTATACTCTGTGGTTCAGCAACATTCTGATACATGGCTACAAACCCTTAAAAAAAGCCTTGTATGAAGAACACATATAATCTGACAAAATGGACAGAACTCCTAAGGCTTAACACCTCCCACCAAACAATAATTTGGAGATGTACTAACAATATTGGTTATTATATTAAGGTGACATAAAAGATCAGACAATTTTTGTAAAAATCCTGTATTTGCACAAACTACAAAGCACTCATTTTGAGTGCAGTCATGAATACATAAAGGCAGGCTAAGACCTTAAATATTTGATGTAAATAATGCAATTAAAACATATACATATTCTCTTCACTTTAACCCATTTTTATCAGGTATTATTTAAGATGAAAGAAGTTGTACTGCTTATGTGACCATAGGCACAATTGTATAAATCTGCTGGTATACTCCACCTTATGGTTTGTACTAATAATTACAACTGAGACTGAAGTCAAATGAATAGCATAGCAATGAATCCTTTGCTTTTAACTTTCTTCAATTACACAAATATTGAAAGACCATTTGTCAAGTATTTTTTATTTTAAAAACATGAAGTTGTAAAAATTAAGCATGTCTATTTCAATTTACTCTTTTGTTGAAATCGATCTACAACTCCACAGGAAAGTTAACTATTGCTACTAGCGTAGATATCACACAAGAGAAGTTTTGTGTCCTGAGACAGTAAACAGTGTATATCAAAGAAAATGACCCTACTCCCTACCTTCAGTGCCCCCCTTATCCTTCCTATGTTCCCTGGGTACCGGGTCAGTCCATCACCAAGCTGGTGGTGGCTGTTCCCCAGGGGGAGAGGGCAGGCTTGAACCCTAGACCTCTGGCTCCTGCAAATGGGTGTGAAAGATTTGCCAAAAAAATTGAGCAATTCCTAAATAAGAAGCAACAGGGCATAGTTGGATAGTCTCCTGTTGCTGAACTTTTACAATTGTTTCTCTAGATTGTGCAATTTCACCATATAGAGCTTAATGAGATTAATAAAACCAAGCCTAAATATTCCTTATTAATTCAGTATGTGATGATGTACAGAACATGAAGGAGGCAAGTTTCCCCAAAGTGCACAACATAAGCAAAATTAACATACACAAAGCACTGTAAAACCTGAACTGGGATTCATAGCAGCAGAAACGAGCCTAAAATAACCTAAACATATAAAAACCTAACTTTTACATAAAAAGAGCAGAAAAGCAATAGAATGCAAGCCATAATATATAATTTACTTTATTGTTTACATACAGTCAAAAATAGGAAAACAAAGTGATACTGTAAATACACATTATCCAAATCTATATCTTTATGTCTAACCAAAATCTTACGTTATAAGTTGTCGAGAGTTTGATGACGGGGAAGATTTATTTAGTAGTTAAAGTATTGTACATATGAAAATTATAATCCTGGTTCAATAGATAAACAACTGATGGAAGGCATTAGATGCCACGTGCCTTTTCTTGGAGAAACCAGACAACATGACCCTGAGAGAGTCCAGCCATGCTACTTGAAAATGTATTACTACATTACTATTACAAATCTTCTATTACACTTATAGGATGCCAACTGTAGTACCTATAAACAAATGCTTTCACTAGCTATACATTTTACAAAACAATTATATAAACCTCATCTCTGAAAACTTATTAGCTTGATTTTAAATAGAGTTTGGCCCTGAAAATGTTAAATAACCAGAACATGGCAATTACCTATGTTGAGAAAACAAAAAAGTTTCCATGTAAATATGTATGATCAAATTATTTGCAACAGTAAGATACAAAATTAATACTTATTTAACATACCTGGTAACTTCAGTGATCAGAGACTAATTCATTATTGCCAAGAGCAAAGGCAGTTTTGAGGTTGTTTTACAGTTGCTTAGTAGACATAGTGCCCTAGAAAATATATTATTTTTAACTATGTCTAATGCACATTAGTTGGAGATAAGGGATCCATTTTCGTTTCAGGATCCTCAGTAGTTCTTTTAGGTTGAATTTGAGTACCTATGGTTAGAAAGTATGTGATTGTTTCTTTTGCATAAAGGATCGGGTTTTTTTGAGTACTAAATAACTTAGCTTTTTTTGTGCTTAAAACAAGAGAGAACTCCATGGTGAAAAAATTATTATGTATTTTTGAATACACTGTTCATTATATTGTGAAAAATTACCTTGTCAAGGGCACTCATAAAATGCTGATCTCCATTCAAAACAGTGTTGATAAGTTGAACAAATTTACTATGCACTTCCAAAACTGACTCCACAAACTGAGTTGGCATCTAAAAATACACAATATAGAAAACAGGTCTATTGAAAATGCAATAGCTATGCAAATATGTAAAAACTAATATAGAGCTTCGTGGTTGTTCATGTGGAAGATTATCAGCAAAAAATCAAGGTATCTAACTAGTAACTGCATTTTCAGCTTAATGTGGATATGCAGAAGAAATTAGTAGGATGCAGCGCTGGCACTGGTGAGCTTTCAGAAGGGCCTGGAGAAGATTAGCCCTTGAGCACATAAGCACCAAAACATGGCACCAAACTTGCAGAATTAAGGTTATAAATGGATGTCAACCCCCAAGCCTCTTCTCTAAATCAGTGATGTTATATGAGCTTGTTCTATCTATTTGTTTCACAGCAGCTTTTAAAGAAAGTGGTGTTTGATCCTATAAAATTAGGAGTAGCTGCTCTAAACCCTAAAATCTTTGGGTCATACTCTGAAGATATATGTAATGTGAATATACAGATGCAACATAATTGAGAAACCACTATTACTAACGTAAGCCAACTTTCTTCTTCAAGATAGCATCCGCATATTGGCATACAAAAGAATCTAAAGAACACTACTAGAACTAGAAAAGTGGGCTGAAAATTCTAGTTTAAAACAAGGATGACCAGGAACACTCTCTTAACATGAACATCAGATCTAGATGCCAAGATGAAAGAAGTGCTGTATAAATGTGTGAACAGAACTGTAGGTGGAAGCCTGCTTTTCTACAACAGCAGAGCCACTTTCACATCCCACAAGTGGACATTAGAAGCGGTTACACTTAAACTTGAACTTATAAAATCATATTTACCAAAACCATTTTGCCAGAATAACTGAAAACAAATGAAAAGTCAGAGTAATTTCAGAAAACCTGATGGAAGCACAGAATTCTGTAGCAACTAAGTGAAAAAACTCTTCTGGTACTAGGACAGGATGCCTATATTTGAAAATAAACAACATTTAATCAAACCAAGTGATATTATTACTTTCTAATGAACCAAAACAGCATTGGCAACTGTCTGGAAAGGAAATTTCACCAAACAATAGCACCTTCTTTGCAGCAGGAGGCCATTTGCCATGATCATTTTATACATTTATTAAAAAAAACAGATTTGATCCAGCAAGAGTAAATTAAAAAAAAACTGAATTAAATCATTAGACAACTGATGGTTGATCAAAAACTGCATTGGTGAATGAAGTTCCAAATCTATTTAACAACAACAATTATGAAAACATTAGTTAATTTGGTGTTTTATAAGCTACAATGTGATGCTGAAGTTTCTCTTCATTATTAGCACTTGTGTAAGTAAACTAAAGCAGTCTAGGGAAGAAAGCAAAGATTTAATCAGGAATGTAATAAGATAGGTTAACTCAACTGTCAGAGGAAACTTACATTTTCCTGAGAAAGATTGCTGGTTGCTCTAAGGCCCTCATCATGGATATGGTTTTGTAGTTCCTGAATCATATGAGGTAAGCCACTTGACACAGCACGAAGCAGAGTGTACATGTTTGCCATGTCTGCAATAAAGATATGTTTTTTATGCAGTATATTTAAAAAAATCCACTATTCTAAACTAAATTTTACATATCATTAATTTGCATGGATCTTCACCCAAATTAAAATAAAACTGTACCTTGTCTTGAAAAAAGGCCGCAGCCCAGTATGAAAAAGGTAAACAACCACTGGACTAATTTATTTCTTTTCTTCTATCTACCTAGACCTCCATGCTAGCATATGACTGATGGCAAATCAGGAGAGCTCAGATATTCTCTGTGACAGTGTTTCCACTTTGCTCCACCTCACCTTCGAAAACTTAAAATACGTGACTTTCCCAGGAGAGAGCAAAAGGAGTCTACCATCCAATAGAAAACCTTGATGAAAGAAAGTATGTGAAATAAAATACTAAACCTTAATCCTGAAGCTAGTAATATTTGTACGAGGAAAACTGCTTTGCCTTTCTCCTCTCTTGGTGAGTGATTACAAGCCAGGATCAAGGAACAACAAACAAGTTAATAGATAGAAATTAATATTTCTGCATCTAAAATATAGACTTATAGTAGAACCAATCTGTCTAGCAATTCCTAATTTAGATAAAGAAAGCAAGCAATATAACCAATCCAAGTACTGTATTGGTATAATACAGGAAATTGCCTGAAGAATATGTAAATACCCATCAGCATCCACACAGGGACCAATGAGGCCATCTTACATTTTCAGCCCATCTTTACAGAATAAGAAGCCTAAATTACCACCACCATCACGTGTCATGAGATCTGACTAGAAGTAGACACCCAACAGGGAGAAATGTGTAGAAGCCACTCAAAGGAAGAAATAAACTGAAGAGTATACAGTAAGAGGCAGGGTTATCAGTAGGCTGCTATGGAAAAAAAAAAAAAAAAAAAAAAACTGTTTGGATTTTCTCCATGCCTTGGAAGGGGCTTAGCTACTTTGAGACACTTAGTCTTTCCAGTAGCTATCTCTTTAGCAAGGTCAGGTCTGTGTAGAAAACACACATTGATCAGGAAAGTTTGAAGTCAGGGCATTTCCACAGCCATATGTTTATTTAAAATAACAAAACAAAACAAAACCACACACACCCAGATGTACAAAAAACAGACGTACCAACACTTTGGAAAAGTAGGATTATTCAAGACTTGTTCTTCCTCCCTTCCAAAGAAAGCTGGAATCATGAGAAACAGAACAAATATAGCTGTGGAGATGGACCAAGTGAATTGATACTACAATACACCTATGTATTGACAAATTCCAAGGCCAGAAGAGAATCATTGTAATATCTAGTTTTAAAGGCTATATAACACATGCCACAGAACTTCCCCAAAAGAATTCCCGGAGAACATTTTTCTAAGTAATATCCTATTCTCATTCAAAATTTGTCATCGATGAAGACTCCATCATGACCTCAGTAAATTGTTCTAATGGTAAACTATTCTCACCATTAAAAATGCACATCTTATTTCCGGCCTGAATTGATCTGGGTTCAACTTCTAGCCACTGGATTGTTATAATTTAAGAGCTCGCTATTAAATAGTTATTTCCCCAGGTAGCAACAAATCAACCCTTTGACTTCTCTTTTGTAAGATAAAAATCAACTGAACACCTTGAGCTTAGCATTAGAATAGACATTTTTAGTCTTGCAGCTCTTTTCTGAGTCCTCACCAATTTATAAATACCCTTCTTGAACTGCAAGCAACAGAACCAAGCCACGTCAGTGCCACTTATAAAGGTAAAATAATACCTCTACTCCTACCTGATATTCCCATTTGCACATCCCAGGATCTATTTTGCTATAATCAAAACAAAATCAGCCCTGTCTTGGATCACCTGGTTTATTTATTATAGAATCACAAAATATTGGTAGAGGAAGTGTACAGTACAACACAGTAGAAAGAATCCACTAGTGATAGCCAAAACACTGTGAAAACCTGACTTGCCAACTATTGCCTGATGAGGTGGTGGGATAGGAAGACAGACCATCTATTACAAGGACTGTTAGGAAACACATAAAAGGAAGTAATGTAAGAACTAAAACTTAAAAGTTATGCTATATTAAGCAGACTGGATAGGTAAAAAAGGGAAGAAGAATATCAGAATTTGTCCAGGACACAGAGGACTAGTTCAATGTCTACGCAGAGGGAAGAGTTCTTCTATCTGTTGAAATCATCAATTGCAACATAAAGCACCTACAGAATATTTAATATTTTGTGAGACTTACCACTTCTTTTCTCCTGTCTGATGATATTATGACATTCTGCATGCAGAAACTGCAAGTGATCTGCTACCATTCGCTGCTGGCATTCATGAATTACTTTGCCATATGAACTCGGGTGCAAGTATTTCCGACATCGCATTTCTTCATCTTTTAATCTACCTAAAACCTATAGGCAAAATTTCAAGCAATAGAACAGATAAATACTACCTAACAGGTTAGGAGAGGAAAGGCAAATTGTGTATCCATTTGAGAAATAAAATACGAAGCAGGAAAACTTGGATTTGAACATGATACTGAGACATTAGTTCAATGAAAACTCAGAAAGAGTGATATCTACTAAATCAATAACTTTATTTCCTGCATTAATTGCTTTTTGCATTGGTGACTCCCCAACTACTACCAGGCCCCAACTTCATTAGAGTTTGAGAGATCTAATGCTGCCGACCTCTCCTGGTTCTCATCCCATCCCTTTTCTTGCTCTTGTAGCATATTCTGAAGAGAATCCTTCTCATCCCCTCTCCAAATCTATTCTCTTCCTCTCTCATATCAGAGATTTCATACACAAAACACATTCAACTATCTCAGACTCTGTGACATTTCCTCGTTGATGTCTAGCCATCAGCTGAAGGTTAACATGTCTACATAAAGCTAGTAATGTGCTATTCTCCTCCCTCCCAGTCATCTCCTCTCTCATTCTCTCTGGACCTTCCTGCCTGTGATCGAGGCCCGTAACCTAGCTAATATTACGCTCCTGAAAATTAATACACTAAGATAACTGCTGAACTGAAGTTATTTTTAAAATCTAGGATTACACCTCACACATTTATCAGTTAATCAGAGTTTAATGTCTATAAAGTTGTTTGAAACTAAAAAGCAATATTAAAGGGTATAGGTAGTAATATTTACTTAGATTAACCATAACAAAAAAATTCATAGCCACCGCAGTTTCAACAAGAATGCATTAACATGTATATAGCAAAACGGGTAATAAAAAAAACCATCACAGCAGGGGTAGAAGTCAATTAAAAAAGGAAAACAATTATTAGCATTCTGCAGTGCAGACAGGTGTTACATAAATGACTCATTTTTTGTCTTATCAGTCAGTTTATAGCCTTTAAATACAATTAATATTATAAGCTGTTTAACAGGCTGCCCAAGAATCTCATCTCCCAACCTTATGAAATTTATGTTCACGCTATAAAAGGATATCATATATGTGTTCTCACTGAGAATGTGATAAAAGTGTAGAAACCAGTACATCAGATACATTTAAAATAAAAACCACTTATTTTTCATTTTGGGTGCATGTACCACCAGAAACGAAATCAGTATAAAAATCACTCTTCTAAAGTAATTAATTTTAAATACTTCCTATTGTATTAAAAGTAATTAACTTGCTCTGTATTCTGCCTCTCCATAATGTGACTTGCAACTATTGCATATCTATTGTATATATAAAATGGGGCTTCTTACCTTTTCCATATACTGTGAGCAGTTTGACTCTTGCAATAAGTTTGAAGCTTCTTGTTTATAATATTCCCCTGTTTCGTTCAGGAAAGGACACTCAAAAATTTCCTGATAAAACTAAATCAAGAAAGTCTAATCAAGGACAAATAATACAAGGTATTAAATTATGAATATTCACAATTAAAAATACCCCAAGCAATCATGCATTTTTACCTTTAGGGGGAATTTTTTCTTATACTGTTCAACATGAACAAAGGAGTTAATAACCCCATGGATTACTTTCTGGTTTGGGTCTTCTCCACATCGATCACTGAAATAGGCAAAAACAAATGCGTGTTCCTAAGAAACAGTATAACTAATAAGGACAACATGAGACATGGACCCTCTTGACATAATGCGTAAGTTACTGCCAGCCTCCATAGAATAATTATTAAGTACTGGATGCATTAACAATAATACAAAAAATACAGCAACATGCTACTCAAGTCTATCAACTCCAGCTTATTAAGAAATAGGTAAGTAAAATCCATTTATTCTTGTCTCAAATTTTGTCCCATCACTTGCACACTGAGCAAATGATCTCCCAATGATATCCTGCACAATCTATTCATCTCCATACTGGTCATTCTTTGCTAAAATAACTCAGCACCACTCCTTCCATGATAAAGTGTTTCCAGATTCTTATCTCTATATCAGATGTGACCCATGAATGTAAGCTTGCACTTGCTGATTTCCAAGAGCAGTGTCATCTTCTTTCCAATAATATTTCAATATATGCATGTGTCTTTCCCATCCCGGAGACAAGTATTTTCACTAGCACAATACCTCAAAGGCTTCAGATTTCTTCTTGTCAAATAGCATTTGTGCCTCAGGATTCTATTCATAAATAGTGATGGAGAATGCTTAAGCTTTTCACCCATTGAACCTTTGAACACTACAAGATGCCATGTTTTTTCCACAGTTTTGTAAGGAAAACCATGGCTGGCCAAGCCATCACTGGTGATTTCTGAATTTTTTTGGTGTAGATATCTTTGTTAGATACATCTGTTTACTTGGGATCCAGACCTATCTGCTGTCTGGACCTGAATTGTCATGTCCATTTGCATCCTGTTATTGTTTCAAGATAATTTAGTTTTGACCACATTCAGGAATAACCCATATTCCTCACTAACAGTTTTTATAGGTGTCTATGTTCATTGCATTGATCGTTGCAGTAAAAAGCATCATACCAGCATTCCTGAAGTTAGTTAAGAAGTGTCCATCAAGAGGAACCCCAACTCCTTCCACTTTATCAAAACCTTGGAGGGCTTCTCACATAATCAATTCTTTGTATAAGCTGAAAAGATTTGGGGACCAAATCTGAGCTCCCCCCACCCGCATCTCACATCCTGCCCAATGAAAAAAAATGTAACCACTTACAGGTCGCCTGCTGCTGTTTACATCCTGCTCTGTTAATGACATTAGATACTAATAAGTTCAACAAGATGCTTTGGAATCCCCATGTTTGTCTGTATCTTCAGAGACCATCATATCAGATGACAAACACACACTTTGGAGAAATCAATGAAACACAATATCTATGTTTTTCAATATGACATGGCATCCTCAATTTGATCATATGCCTCGTCCCTCTCTGAAACCAGCTGGTTGTGGTGACAGCGCTGCTTCTATCATTAACTTCATGCAATCCAGAATCATGTACATCAGAGCACTTGAATGCACATCATAGCAGGGAAATATACAATAGTTATTGCACTCTGTATTATCCCCTTTCTTTGGTCAGGGCAGAAAGATTCCCTCCATTCAGCTGTCTGTCCAATTTCTCGTCATTAATACACTGTTGCAAATTTTCCACAAGATCAATATAGTGGTCACCAATCACTTTCAGCAATTCTATTGGTAGGTTATTTGGGGGTTTTCACAAGCTTCATTTTCATAATGGCACACAGCCCTTCCTCTCACAGGACTGGTATCTCTGTCTCTGTATTCTCTTTTCTGTCATCCTATATTTCAAGTGGCTCTGAGAAGACTGGAACAGTAATCCATCCACCTGTGTTTCATCTCATCACCTTCAGTCAGAACTCTGACATTCTATTACACCCTTTGTTGCAGTGAAAATATTTTAGTAGGAACTCTGACTACTGTGAATATATCTTTTATATTCTTGCTCTCTAGAATTCTCAAGTTCCTTTCATTTTGCTCTGATATATTTGCTCTTATCAAGTCTGCCTTTGAATTGGTCTGCTCAATTTCTTGTGTTCTCTTCTGCACTCTTCAATCTCCAAGCTGCTTTCTCTAATACTATGCCTCTCCCCTTGTTCTCCTCTCCCCCCAAATCTTCCTCCTCCTCTCAATGATGCAGTCTGATGCTGGCTTTTCAAAATATTTGCTTTAGTAGATTTCAGCATAATAGTGAAGAACAAAACTGCTACAAAAATTGTGATGTTTCATCTAATCAATACTTTGATCCTTCATAACTTACAGCCATCATTAGCTCCTCTCTGAGTCAACAATGGTCATTTTTGTCAAACGTTCACTCAGACAGCACATTGTTTTAATCCCCGTATCATCTCTACTTGATGGCTCTTCATGTACAAATGCTCTCCAAACCAGAGAATGTCCACAGAGAATGGATCAAGTATTTGTCCCTTTTATGTGAAGAGTAGCAACAGCACAAGTTTTCTTCTGGTCCTTTAGAGGAGCGTCTCAACTTTTTTTTTTTTTTAAAAGTACCCTTCCCTTTAAAAAAATATGTACCCCCGGTACCTACAGTTTTCAGACACACAAGTTTTTTCTACCATTACAATGTATTTGTTTAAACAACTTAATTGTAGCTGGGCAGGCGATGAAATTTTTGGGTGTAAAAAGTATAAAAATAATAAAGCTCTGTACAACTTGAAACAAAAATTCAGTTGTGTTGATGTATCTTCCCCTCTCCCCCCCCCCCCCCCATCCCTCTCCCACACCCCCCTCACTAATATACTTGCTCTAAAACAGAGAAGCAAGAGGCTGCTATCAAAAAGATCAGATGGTTCAACAGCAAAAATAGTCCAGAGGAGCAAAAGGCTAAACATGTATAGAGACCACGATAAAAAGTATTCATAACTTTGAGCAATCCTAAACCTATCTAAAATTGGAAATAGTCCCTGTGAAACAGGCAAGATGCTGGATGCCAGAACGACCTGGCAATGGCTTATTTCTGCTGGAAATAAGGTGGATTAAAACCTCGCAGGTCCTGTCTAGAGGAGGAAGAGATTTTGTCAGAAGAGAAACTATGTTGTCAAGGACCAAACACTAAATCACACCAAATGACGCTTCAGCATCTGTTTTGAAATATCTGGTGGATCTACTATACTAGTGGTGGAGGAACCTTTCTTGGGTTGGGTCACTGACCCACAGAAAAGTCAGTCAGGGGCTGCACACAAATGAGTAAAGAAACAAACAAACAAACAAACAAACTAACAAACCACCACAAACAATCTCATCCCTCACCAGCGTGGGCTCTTCAATGCTGGGGGGCCCTAACGCCACAGGGGCTGTATCCAGGCAAGCCAGGGGCTGCATCCAGCCCCCAGGCCTTAGGTTCCCCACCTCTGCACTATACACTGAAACCACTGCCTCTTTAAGCACCATGTGAGTAATTCTAAGATTTGAAGTTTTCTGATATCTCTTTGCACCTAAGGAGCAAGCTGCCCTTGGATCCAGAGAAATTTTTCAGTCACTCTGATGACAGCTCCTATGGAGGATCCAAAGAGAATGATTCAAAACTGTCTCCTAAATGATGAATTCACATAGAAAGGGCATCAATAAAAAAAAGTGACCTTTGCCAAGACAAAAAAGCAGCAGATGTGCCTGTTATAGACATATCACATCTACAGTCTTGCCTTCTTGCTGGTGTTAATCATGTTTTGGAGCAACCAGTACCAACAGCTTTATATGTACCTACAATAACGAAACTCATAAACCAAGACACCTAGAACAGACAAGGGAAACAAACATAGTCCAGACAAAATAGACACATATATATGAAGTAGAAGAAAAAAAGTCTTTTAAAGGGCTCTTAGATTTAGTGACAGAACGTGGCCCATTGAAGCAGCACAGGCCTGGTATGCACTACCAACTTTCGTTAGTATAATAACATGGGTTTGCAGTGTCATTTTTAATACATTTTTATATTGGCAATAACCTTTATTTAGAAACCCATATATCATCTAAAAACTGTTTTTGAGAGTATGATCTGTCTCTTTTAGAAAATTGGTATAAGTTGCAAAAGCGAAAGCCTAGTTTTCCTGATAGAAGCTATGTCTATGTAGGTTTGCTGGTATAGTTATATTGGCAAACATTTTCTGGTTTACTCTAGAGATATTAAAAAAATGTGTACTTGTATGAATGTGTCATCGCTGAAAATTTTAGCAGTTACATGTTTAAATTGGGGGGGAGGGTACAGAGGCAGCAGGGCAAGGACAGGGGAAAGAAAGGGGAGGCACATACTTCTGCAAGAGCCAGTATGTATAGGGAGCCCGCTTCCCCTGTGTACTGGCTCCTACCTGCCTCCCCCACCCCCCATGCTGCTGCCTCTGTGGGAAGTACTGGGGTAGGAGAAGGGAGCAGGTAGCTCCGCAGCAGCTGGCACACACAGGGAGCAGACTTAAAAGCTGGCTCTTCACAGGCACCGGCTCCTGCCTCCCATTCCCCAGCCTCTGATACTGAGGCAACAAGGGGGGAGGGGTTGATGCATGTTAGGGATGTAAGGGTATGTCTATACTTGCACCCTACTTCGAACTAGGGATGCAAATTTTACAAAATGAGTAATGTTAGTTCGAACCAAGGGGTTTGGTTTGAACTAACGTGCTCCGGCGTACACTTTCACTTTCGAAACAGCTATTGATCAGAGTCAAGCGCTGGTGAGATCATGCTAATGAAGCGTGGGATATTTAAATCCCCGCTTCACTGACTATTTCGAATGCCTACATTTGCATCCCTAGTTCAAACTAGGGTGCAAGTGTAGACATACCTTAACTGACTCGATTACCTGATAAGCCTAGGCTTATCGGGTAGTCAAGTCACTACTCAGCTAGTCGCTTCTCCCCGCACTTGCTGCCGGCGTTAGGGAAAGCGGTCTTAAAAGTTGGTTCCCCCCAGCACCATCTCTGTGCAGTGGGGAGGGCAGCAGAGGAGGCAGAGGCATAGTGGAGGATCGGGCGTGAGCTGGGACTCAGCTGTCCAATCCCACACCTGGTCCCAGACACTGCAGCTCTGTGGGTTCTCTCCTTATCAACTAATTGAGTAGTCGATGGAAATTCCATTGCATTGAATCAGCTAATGGAGTAGTCAATTTAACATCCTTAATGTACGTGCAGGCAGTCCCTGACTTACGCGGATCCGACTTATGTCGGATCCGCAGTTACGAACGGGGTTTGCTCCGCGTCTCCCTGGTCTGCTGGAGACCAGCAGACCAGGGAGACGGGGAGCAAAGCCTCGGAGGACGCCGGCAGCGGGACAGCAGACCAGGGAGACGGGGAGCGAAGCCGCAGAGCACGCAGGCAGCAGGACAG